TGCGCACGTCAACCTGGATGATGAAGTAGTCCTCGGTATTTCTCTCAATGAATCCGTCAAGCTCATCCACATGGTGCTGGAGGATCTTTAAAACCTCCAAGTTGGATTTCGCCAATCCTTTGGCCAGCAAATGCACTCCAAATGAGAGCTGAGAAATCAACTTCCACAGAGGATGATATCTGTGGCCCATTAGCTTGTTGGTCGACGGTAAGGGAAGTGCCCTTAATGTGGTCCTATGGAATCACTTGCCTTTCGCCAGCTCGTTGGCGCCATTTTCTCCCACAAAGCCGTTCATACGCGTCATTTTCAAGCAGCTCTTTTCTCCGAGACTGGGCGTCAAGATTGACGATCCATTGGGTTTCTTGTTTCTGGCTTGCCTCGAAGATTGACTCTTCGAATGGGCCCTGCAACTGTGGAATAGGGTGAACAGGCGATCCATTACATGGCTTCTTGTCGCTTGGTGTAGGATCGTTGTCTTGTTCGGCACCGGGGGTAGTTGCCTGTAGCTCTCGGTTTTCGGGCGCAGACGCCATCAATCCTGAGGCGGAGTCTTTCACAAGTCATCCAAATCAGGATCAACAATGCGGTTGGATTCTGGGAGCCTTAAATTTTCTTTCCTTCTTAGTCTTTGGTGATGAAGATACCGTGTAAATTGTGCTCTCTCACTTGACTACTGAACGGAGCTGGCAGCGCAATGGATTGCCTTTGAGGAGTGTAAAGCCAAATAAAGAGCGAGTGGTCCAGATCCATTAGGTATGGACGCGATGCGCGCTGATTTCCTCACCGAATTGAACGATGGTACAGGGATCATGCAGGAGAGATCGAAGAGAGTGAGAGTATGTTTTCAGCTTGAAACCTATAGAAAAGGACAAGCAGAGCAAATGAAAATGCTCTGTGGAGAGGTCAACTTAATGAACCTGTTGACGGAACTATGGGCCTTAGATAGACTATCTAGGTAAGTAGACTGACTGTCTGTGGGAACATTGTTATTACGAAGCCACCTCAGGGACAACAAATTCTAACTGTGTTATCAGCCAGGCTGACATACGTAATTTGAGAGCTGGTGGGACAAGGACAAATTAGAAGGATTAGAAGGATTGGGGATAATCATACAGGAGGTTCCGTGCGTAATAATAATAATATTATTAATAGTAATGGTTGTTTAATATACCGACGATCGAGGAGACTCTAGAGTCCAGAACTTCAAACAACAAGAATAGTAAAGCAACGCGGGAAACCTTGGTTCCGAGCAACAACGACGTATCGATATAAGTATCTATCTTTAGCGTACTGGGCTAGGGTTAAAGATCCAGCCCAGTTTGCAGACAGATATGGTCGAAACGAAGGTCAAAAGTTTCAGATTCAGCCTATTATTCAGGGCTTTCAAGGGAGGAAGTCGTAGACCTTTACTCCATGGTAGTTCAAGCTTGGAAAATTATTATTATTATATTAATCCCAAGGAGAACAGCCCAAAAGTGTTAGTCGATGCTTGAAACTCAGGGGCTAGCCATTCATATATGATTTGTGGCAATATCAAGCAGTATCCAATGACAGTTGGTTTTGGCATGCAGAATTGGCAAAGAGTACCGAGTATTCCCGTACCTTACTACTGCGATATAGATAGATATCAACCTTATTTAAAATCCTCACTTTATGCTAGACTGATTTTAAGTGGACTCGATTGGACAGAACTTCACACCATATCTGTTTATGTCTGGAAATGACGTGTTTGGACTTAATATTGGACACCTTGTTTTCGCAGCCATGCAAGAACATCAAGATGGCAGAGGCAAACGTCTGCAAAAAATGCACTTGGATTTTGAGAAGTGTCAGCATTTCCCGTACGCGCTGGAGCCTTTGCACTGCCCTTCTGTAGAGAACTATGTAGATGAATAGTGTTCAAGAAACCATAAGCATCTTGTTGTTCAGGTCACCGCCAGTAATGACGATCGACAGCCCGCACTTCCCACAACGCTCGTTTTCCCCCAATGAGAGGGTACAAAAAGGTCATTCGATCTCGATCAGTGGCCCTTCGTCCTGAAGTGCGGCACAAGTGCACAGGGGATACTGACTTTATCATACTGACACGCTCCCAAATTACGCTGTCACGTGCTACCTTTGTCCTCCTCGGTGAGAAAGACCGGGTCCCAGAAGTTCGTTGGTAAGGACAGGTCAAGGAAGTCACCAAAAAGCACGTCAATATCTTCAAGAGCACCCTGCCGATTTTCCTCGACTCTCTGTAACTCCCTGGGTGGATCTGTAGGGCTCTCTTGTGGCGCAATAGGTGCGGGGACACAACCAGCAACGCCAGGGCTATAATTGTCAGCCGCTAGCTGCGTGGTGGAAGCAGTTGTGACTGCATTTGACACTGACGGGGTGCTTCCAGGGTCCATCAGCTGCCGAGCGGCCTGTCCCTGGGATCGCTGCAGTCCAGGCTTTGCCACGTTAATTTCACGCAAGGCCCTCCGTCCCAGACGTGCCATTGCCTCTGCAGAGTACCAGTAGATGCCCATACCCTCCAACAACGAACAGCACGCCTCTAAACTGGCTTTTGCTCGGTTAAAATGGGTAATCAGCCTACTTGACCGAAATTGCTGATAGGAGACGCTCATGGAAAGCGATAGTGCGTATGGAACAATGGGGAGAGGGGGCAAGTCTTGGGCACATTCAGTTGCTACAATGGAGTGTATCCGGACCGCAGCGAGACCTTGTCGGATACTGGAATTCGAGTTTGGGGGTGGATCGTGCATCCTGGACCTGCACGAAAGAATGGCGACGGCATGATAATATACTTCAAGGAAGCCTTCGAGGCGGTCAGCAGTAGATTGTGGGAAGAGAAAATCCTCCTTGAAAGACCATGGAGCGTACCCAACATGGTAAAGTCCAATTCCTCCTCGAAGTTGTCACCCATGATCTCCTCAAAGGACGGAAAGTTGGTTTCCCAGCCGACGGTAGGATCCGCAGATGGCCTATAGAATGAGATCACAGTCGAGAGCAAATCCGAGATGGTAAACCACACGTCAAATGTAGTCTTAGGATGAGAGGTATTGATAATGGGTTTTCTCAATCCAATGTCTCGGTCGGCAAGAACTACTGGACGGCCGCCTATGCTTGCGTGCATCTTATCCAAGGTCCAAAGACACCAGAAAAGTCGCGATAGAGAATCCCCTTGTACTCGGTTAGGTCTGTTCAGGTGCAGACCTGCGGTCGAAGCCTCGTGGATAGCCCGACAAAGATGCATAGATGCAGCCTCTGCGCCCTCGTGGCCCTCGCAATGTAAAGACATCAGCGCTAGTGTACGTATGCGGGTGATTCGGTCCGACTCGAGCCCGGCGTCCATCGCGACAACTAGTCCAGTGTAAATCTCGGAACAAAACTGTCGAGACGTCCTGAGAGGACCATTGATGCTTGTACGAAGAAACGAGCTGGCGGCTTGATCCTTGGCAGCCGTAAGGCAAATTGCCCGCTCCAGGAACACGGACGCACGTCCATGGGAGTAGGCACGAAGAAAGGATTCTTGATCAATAAGCGGAAGGACAGGATGGATTCGGGAGAAATAGATGGCAATCAACTGGTCGCAAGTCGATGAAGGCAGACGATGACAAGCATTCAGAGCTGACGAATACCGCTCTTGTAACAAAGAGGCAACAGACTGGGCATGCTGACTCTGCGTAGATGACAAATTAACCGGAGTATTGTTTACATCAAACGCTGCTGTATCATCTCCGTGGCCATCGCTGGTTTGTGAGCTAATCCAAAGGCCAATTCGATCTCGAAAGCGGCTGCCAGATGCGCCATCCAATTTCTCACGAATCACAGCTTCTGGGTTGAGATCTCCTACGAAGCGTTCTGCTCGGGGAATATCAGGCGATACAAAAGTCAAAGTGGTAGACTTCGCTGGCCCAGCGCCGCCCAGAGGGGATGATGGACAGTCTAGCTCCTGATTGTTGTTGTTGGAACGAAGAGCAGTAGGCTCAATATGATCTCCCAGAAGTGACTGCGCCTGATTTGAGACAGACCCTGAGTTGATAATATGGCGGCAGCGTTTCTTGTTACAACATGACTTAGCTCTTCAGACCGTCATTGTAGATTAGACGTTGTTCGGGTATAGATGGGGATGACTATATAGATTGGGAAGAGGGCTAAAGCACACAGCAGAATGGAATGAACGGGCCGGGAAGAGGAAGGTTGGTTGAAGAGTGAAACGATACCTTTCTTCGCTGGCAATCTGCGCATGCTCGAATGGCTCGTCTGCGACCTCGCGATTGGGGAGTATCAGCAACCCATTTGAATTCCATCCTCACGTCATAGCGTAAGCTGAAATACAGATGCGGCAGAATTCCTGAACCCAGCAAGACTTTTGGCTGGTTCCTTTTCGGCTATGTCAGTATCGTTCATAGATACTCAATATTTCGTGCAGGGCTATACTCCAAATATTCTAATAACAATCAACCCTGACGCTAATCCATAGCAGCATGAAGTGCTTAGGTAGCACTTAGCAGTGCTGCCATAGAAATAGACTAACCACGGATAGGGATGATCCGGGACCTTTTGAGAACGGATGGTACCAGTCTTGGTCGCCCCAGGGATTATTAATAATAGAGAGGTAACTATAGCGCCGGAGAGTGCAGGCTATGAAATCTCATCTGGATTCGGATCTGGAACTTGACAGAGACTTGAAAGGGTAAGTTGATGCCAAGTCCACAATACAGTACTATATACGCGTGAACCACGCGATCATTGCTAGAGCGACGCGTCTACACGGGGAAGCCAAGTGCTGACGCGGAGTACTAGAGTCCACAGCTCAATTATGGTGAGATGATTCTACATGTGGATTAATCACATTTCCAAATTAGGTGAGTTTTCTTGCTTAACTCACTGAGTAGTTACGTTTCGTCTCTTCTTTGTTATACTACTACTACTACTATTCCCCCCTTTCATCCTTCTCAAGTCGCGGATATCAGCATTCAAGCTCTATTCACACACGAAGAAAGCGCATCATGGCCAGTCCGACAGGTCTCAAACGTAATGCTAACCATCTATCAACACCAGCGTGTGATGCGAAGAAGCCCAAGGCCAATGGCAGTATCACGTCCTTCTTCGGTGCCCCTAAGCCCAGGCCTGTCGACGCCAAAACATCAACCATTTCGTCCCCTTCCTCGAACTTCAACAAAGACAAATGGGTGGCATCATTGACGCCTGAGCAGCAAGAACTCCTGCGACTGGAGATTGATACGTTGCACGAAAGCTGGCTCTCTAAGCTCAAGGAAGAGCTGGTCACACCGGAGTTCTTGGGGTTGAAGCGATTCCTGAAAAAGGAGAGGGAGTCGGGTGCAAAGATCTTTCCTCCAGAGAATGAGATTTACTCTTGGTGCAACTCCTTCCTAGCCATTTCATCCACGAGCCGCGTTGAACCATTTTGCTAATAAGGTCAACCCCAGGTCTCGACATACCCCCTTGGACAAAGTGAAAGTGGTCATCATCGGCCAAGATCCCTATCACAATCATAATCAGGCTCATGGTCTAGCATTCTCTGTTCGGCCTCCCACTCCTGCTCCTCCCTCTCTGGTGAATATCTATACCGGAATCAAAAATGACTACCCTACTTTCCAGCCCCCACCAAACAAGGGTGGCCTTTTGATACCTTGGGCTGAGCGAGGAGTACTCATGCTCAACACCTGCTTAACAGTCCGCGCTCATCAGGCGGCAAGCCATTCAAACAAAGGATGGGAACGCTTCACTCAAAAGGCCATCGACACCGTCGCTCGAGTACGAACTAATGGAGTGGTTTTTCTGGCCTGGGGCTCGCCGGCAGGGAAGCGCGTAGCAGGTATCAACCGGCAAAAACATTGCGTTTTGCAGTCGGTTCATCCTAGTCCGCTCAGCGCTCACAGAGGTTTTGTAAGTCTTGCTTCACTCCCTCACCATTATGGCAGACCCTACCGAGCCCCTTTGTACTGACGTGAGTCTTCATGCGGAATCTAGTTCAACAATGGCCATTTCAAAAAATGTAACGAATGGCTCGCCGAACGTTATGGTCCGGATGGCATCATTGACTGGAGTCTGACCCCGAAAACAAAGGCAGGCGGCCCGCTTGCCGCCATCTCGGACCAGTCTCCTGTGATCGACCAGGTGAAGACATCCACCGCGAAACTGCCTGATTTGGATCCTTCCGAAGAGAGCAAAGTTGCTAGCGTGAAACTTATGGACCCTGACGGATCAGTTGATGAATTTGACGATGATGTCGATGCACTTGAGGCTCTAGCTGCAGCTGAAGCTGCAACATGACCTACTGAACATCTGATTTAATTTGGGTATTTTCATTACTATCAATCACGAAGAGGCCGTCTCTGTGATTCCAGCATCTGCAGCTGTATCAGCGTGTCTGTACCGTAGAAATTTCAAGTGTTCCAAGTTTGTATTTTGAATCCNGCCGCCCCCAACTCCTCTCGTCTCCCTTCCTCCTCTTCCTTCATCCTGTTGACGAGTGTCAAATGAAGACGCTGTAGCACGGCGTTCTACACGTGTGCGTACCTCGGTTGGTCGAGTCGGCGGGCGTAACGAAAGTGTTGCTGACAGAAGACTTGCGACTCTGATGCGGCTCTTACTATATTCATTTTGCTAAGCCACATATGGTTAAATAGAATTAATATCAAGTGAGCAATCTTGTCTGCTGGATAGTGAAGTTTCCTGGATTGGCCAGCACAAGAAGCTGAGGCGAAAGTGAAATCTGCTCTGGATAGGATACAATCATGACGTTTGAAATTCGGATACTAAAAAATACTAAATGAAGTCCTTCGGCTAAAGTAGTAGTCTACAATTCATCATGGTCGTCACCCTTCTCGTCGCCAGTAGCAGCAGGAGCTTCAGCCTCGGTGGATGTAGCCGAAGGGGAAGCGGTAACATCAGCCCCTTCTTCAACCTTCTCTGAGGCAGCCTCAAGAGCGTCGACCTTGTACTTGCCGTTCTCCTTGATGAAGTTTGCCAGATCCTCAACGGTACGAGAGCCAGAATACTCAACGGGAGAATCCTTAGCACCGGCGGGATAGAGTTTGATGGTAGGAAATCCGGTGATGGAATCAGGAACGTCGTTGGCAGTGGCATCGATCTTGGCAATGGTGACCTTATCTTTAAAATCACCAGTATAGAGAGCCGCTAATTCCTCATACTTGGGGGCCAGACTATGAAAGACTCGTCAGCTCACCTTTCATCCCAGCGTTTTGGTAGGAGGACGGGCAACACTCACGCTTTACAGTGTCCACACCACGGGGCGTAAAATTCGAGAAGAACATCCTTGTCGTTATTGATGACAAGATCCTGGTAGGAGTGAGCCACCACGACTGTAACAGGTCCTTCTTGGGTTTCAGGAACAGGCTCAGATTTGATACTGGGCTCAACCTTGCCATCAAGGACATCTTGGATGAACTTCTCGATGTCTTTGGCATTGATTTCCTTGGACTGGTCGTAAGGGTACTTGGCGTTCTTCTCCGGATCCTGGATAGCGAAAGCGGGGAATGTCTGGGGGTCAAGGTTGAGGTTTCCGGCGTGGGCACCGAACATCTTGGCATCAATGGTGGCGATGTTGATGGCTCCCTTGTGCTTCTCAGCAATGGGCTTGAATTCCTCCGCATACTGATCACGCTCCTCCTTGGTCTCAGCGAAGATGTATGCGAGAGGGATACCGGCCTAGAATACAGTCCGGGTTAGCTGGTACGGTTAAAGTAGATTAATTGTTTTCGATCATAAGAGACAAGAACATACCGTAATATAGTTAGAGTAGGTCTCAGGGCCAATCTCACCCACAAGAGGAGTGCTGGCAGTTTTCACCCAGCTGAGGATCGCTTCCTGGTCGATCGCTCCATCGTAGATAGCCTTCTTCTCGTCAAAGTCTTTGTAGAGCACAATTGAGGGTTGCTTGACACCCTCCGCCTTGGCAATAGCTGAGTCGCTTGTCGCGGCAAAGAGGTAGTTGTCTCGCTGAGATTCAGCAAAGGAGGTGAACACATCATTGGCAGCCTTGTCGTCGGAGGCAAAGTAACCGATGACAACAATCTTGTCCATGGTCTTGATCTCCTCGAGGTTCTCTTCAGTGACAGTTGAGACGGCGGGGAGGGACTGTTTGATCATGTAGGAGACAATTCTTTTTGAGCAAGGTTAGTTAATAATGCAGAAGGCGGCTAGGAACCGGAAGGCAAGGCCGTATCGAAGGGGAAAGCAGAGCACAGATGATCAGGGACGAGAGTTAATAGACGCGCGCGCTGGTAGTGAAACTTACGAGTCAGCCTGGCGAGCTCCCTGGTAGGGCTTACTGGAATCAGGGCCGCGGAAGATCTTGAGAGTAGGATAGCCCTCGACGCCATTTTCTCTGCACAAGTCCTCTTCCTCAGTGCAATCGACCTTGACCAAGGGAATATCTTTTCCCTTGAGCTCAGTAGCAGCCTCTTCATATTTGGGAGCTAGAGCCTTGCAGTGGCCGCACCAGGGCGCATAGAACTCGGCCAGCACCAAGTCATGCTCTTTCATAAAATCCTTGAACGAGTCTTTGGTCAGAGAGACGACATCGGAAGTGGCATCAGCTGTCGCGTCAGCAGCAGAGGCTACTGCGCTAGCCCCGAGAAGGCTTAAGACCCAGGGAGCAAAAGATCGCATGATATAGGAAAGTCTCTGAAACAAACGAAACGACGGTTAATGGGATAAATCAAGCAAAAGATCCTCTTGTAAATAGCTGCAGACCCAATCTAGTCCTGCTCGACTGAGTTGAAAGGTTGGACAAGAATGAATCTCAGTCAGGTTTGCTACCCTAGAGCTTAAAGGCAGATATGAGAACGATGGGAAGAGCACAGCGTAGGTAGAACGGACGATTCAAGAGGTGAGTGGCCCCATTAAGTACAGGTATGGAGAAGAGTTGAGGACAGTTTGTTCTTTCTGCAGTCAGCTGGCTGTCCAAGCTCTGTGAGTGGCTCCGCTCAGCCGCCTAAACAGTGAATCCTGCAAGGGACTCGTAAAATCATAGGTAAATACCCCGTAATTGATAAGATAGTCGATAAATCATAAATCAAACGGTATCCAGCAAGGTAACAATAATACGTGCCCATAATACACATAATTCCCACCTCGGAACCCACAAATACCCTAGGTAGGGGCCATAGATCCCCAAAGTAGCTAAGTTTTCGATCGAGAATGTCCCATACCCAAGACCTATGTACCAGTAAGAGTCTTCGATAGATACACCATACTCCGTCCCTTCATCCTCTATAACTTTCATTATCGCTACATACATACTGTACGTACTCAGCAAGACAGGTAAGGTAGCATCCTATTATGTACCTAGGTACCTAAGGTACGCTCTAAGTACCCTTCCATTCCCCTGCATTTGCTTTTGGTATTGGGGTATCTGTATCGGCCAGAGACAGGCACACCTGGCAAAGTAACGAACCTACCTTACCTTATTGAAGTACCTACCTGGGTACTTTACCGCGTAATTTATTACAACTCTACCTAAGGCACCTTACGGATAGGGGTGCCATACATGGAATCAAGTACGGTCTCATTACCCTGAGTGAGGTATTGTCTTCCTCCTCAAGGTCGTTACCTTTAAGGTGCGGTGTAACTTACCTAAGGTAGGTACCTCACCTATTTTGTAATAAATAATACCGTCATGGAGCCCAAGAGTTCTAAGTATCATTTATCTATCAATCTGCTCTTCGAATATTAGTTTCTGACTCCTATATGTACTTAATTAATATTCTGAGTATCAGCAGGTAGGTAGTACAGAGTACCTATAACTGAATAGAAGCACAGAGTAGTAAGGCACTTGGTAAGTATAAAAGTACCTAAGGTACTGGAACTACCACCTTTTGACACAGTGACCGTTGAATACAGAGTGCTGCTCCGTAGACATTTACTCCCTCCTCCCCTCAAACAGGACTGCAACAGCTACCTGAATTATCAGTTAATCAAAATAGTCAAAACCTCGAAAACGGGGAACTGTCCGTAACTCTCAAGGTGATGACTAAAAGCAAGTAATAACTTAACATACTTCCCAGGCGAGCGGCCCATCTCTGTATTCCATATAAAATGGCGCCCTTCAAGGCTTTGATATCTCAACAACCAAGCATCTACAGGGTCCAAGTTTAGGTATGAGGTACAGTATAGACATATACAATCATACTTATAAGCCATAGCCTCCTAGTATATGTATATACTTAAGGTAACGTAAATTACACCTGTATTTTTTGGTAAAATTAGCTTCTTAGACATTCAGAGAGAGAAATAGTATTTTAAGATCTTGTGAAAGAGTATTCATATGCTCTAGACTATATATACTCTGAATATCTTACTTACATAAATAGCATATATAAGAATGATTGGGATATCAAAGCCTTGAAGGGTGCCATTTTATATGGAATACAGAGATGGGCCGCTCGCCTGGGAAATACGTCATTTAACACACCCCAAGCTTATGCACAGTTGGAAGCTCCTGTAAAGAGTGTGATACAGATTCCCGACTGAATTTGCCAGATAAGCTTATAGTCCGTATTCAGAGCAGCGCCCGACTGCCATGGAGTACAAAGATGCTACTTAGCTTGTTATGAGGCAGAATAATGATATTTCGTGGTTTTGCTATACAAAATTAATGAGGCGATGTCGATCCAATCAATCATCCACACTATTGAGGTACTTTCTCATTCTTGATGCGATTTCTAAGCCGGTAAGTTGATCCCCAACAAATCATAAAATGGACGCCAAGACACCTGTACCTCACTACCTCCTGATGTATTAGAACTATGAATAGATAGTTTGATACTCCACTAAATGGCAGTAATTGGAATTTGTATGAGCTGAATGAATGTGTCTTTGCCTGAACGGCCCTCATTAAATTAGTCATTGTCGAATATTGCAGTTGATACAATCAATTAATTTTTGTCATCCTTGGGTCGGACTTAACGAAATGTATGGTTCATAATACTCTCTACATGGTTTGGAGTTCTAAATAGGAAATTTACACTTCCATGGCAGAGTATGGTAGCATAAAGGCACGTCCAAAAGCGCTGAACAGTGGAAATATCCCCTTTTCTAGTAGTATAAATCTTCGAGGTGCTTACTTGTAAGGCTATGTAGTTCACCGTGTCATTTGCACTCCAAATTACTGCGTACTCTGTCCTATCCGAGAGAAAGAGACTAAGACAATGATTGTAGAGAGGGAGAGAGAAGCAAGTTCCTAGCAACGAGGCTACCGAATCGGCTTCCATCATAAGCGTAGCTCTGCTGGGCAAATCTAATGATCG